TGAAAGTATTTCAGGCGATGCTTTGTTTCTGCAAACTGCAAGACCGAAGCAGAAATGTTCCTAGACATCTAAAGTCATAGACATAAACTCCAATTATAAACCATAATCCCATTCGCTGTATGTTCCTCCATAGATCCCCAATGATTTTTCTCCAATAGCCACCCATGCACACAATTATGCAGTTCTACCCAGAAAGCCTGAACTTTTAGCTGGTACAGCCTACTATTTAACAAATGTTTGACAACTGGTACAAAGCCCAATTTTACTTACTTCTATTTCAGGTCCACCAACCCAACGAACAGCAGGCAGCTCATTCTGGAGCAGCAAGTGATTTGCCTCATCATCAAAACCCCATTGACAAATAGCAAGGTTTGCACCAGTGTCTTTTATCTGAAAGCAACAAAAATCATCAATCTTCTCATCAGAACTAACACAGGAATGAAAAACAATCTCTTTGTGGTTTTAATTCTCGTAATTTTCTCAAAATAGAATTCTGAAGAAGAACCCTCTGGCATACATAGAGATCAAAATATATTTTAAACCAATGTGGTATCTCTTTCTTGCATAAACTTAACTTTTATTCATAGCACTACAATTGTTTGTATGTTGCCTCCTATAAGGAGGCATTTCCAGGAATAAATCAATGCATTATGCTATTTTGTGTAAAGGCTACGAAAGACAAAGAAAACAGAAATAATCCTGAAGACTACCTGTTTCACCATCTCTTCAAACTTCTCTTTTTCATATTTCTGCAGTGCCTTGTAGTCATCCACAGATGTGACATCAAGCTTATGTTTGGTTTTAGGCTTAGGTGGTTCGAATGGACAAGTAAGGATTGCAATTTTAACATCTTTTAGCTCCTGTGCAATTAAAAAAAACCCAAAAAGTTGAGTTTTGACCTCATTAGCACCTCTTTCTTATATTTGCAAAACTTACAGGCATATCTTTATAAACATGGGCATAGGAGGAAATGCGAAGACCATCTAACTTATTCTCAAGTGGAACAAACAATAACTAAATAATTCTGCCAATAATTTCTGTAACCCTCTTAGAATAAATTAGACACTGTTTAAGCCCTTAACAATGTTTAACAGTGATGTCTTTTTATAGTTTAAAGTTTAAAAACCAGAAAAAAATTCAATGAAACTGTTATTCGCCCTATCCACAGTGATGACTGAGAATACTAATAATTTTTATAGCAACATTTCAAGTACTACGTGACTGATATTTTTCACTAGTCTTCCTTTTTTTACAGAATAAACAGTGTCAACAGCTAGAAAAACAGTTAAGAAAAACAGAAATTTTTAATTGCCTCCATTTTTCTTGCAGTACACTGCCCACTGCCCAAAGACTTGGAGACCTTATCTATATTAAATATAAAAGACAGTTTCTGGGGTGTTCCAAACAGCACAACATGGAAACTCAAAAGATTAAGAAACACTTCTTGATATTAACTTTCATTAAGCATATTAAGCCTATCACACACTATGGATGATTATTTCTGCTTTAATGTAGAACTGTGCAATTGTCCTCACTTAGTAGGACAGCAATTCCTCCCCTTGCCATAATCTCTCAATATTATTGTAAATTCTAAACTTCCAACACGAAGAATTTCACACTGCTCTCCCCTTCCTCTGTTGATACATGCATAAAAAGCCAAGCTAAACCACAAGGTTGTTTAAATATTAAACAAATGCCAGGACAGCATGTGAAGACAATCTTATTTAAGCCATTACACGTGACAGACACACACAGGGACATCACTTACTTTAGGCATCTGTGGATGACTGAAATCTTTATCCACAATCACTCCTTTAACCAACTGTGTATCTTCCAGTCTACCTCCCACTTTGCCTTGTACCTTGATCAGCTCAAAATCAACATCTTTACGTTCCATGTCCGCTACCGTGAGTACAGCGTTCACGGCAATTTCTGCCATTTGCCTGTGACAACGGTTAACTCTACGTTTAAAAAAAAATACAATTAAGTTGCATTACATTTCTTCAATTTGGGAAAAAAAAAAGTGATTCTATCAATCTCAAACAGCAGAAAGTATCACTATAGCTAGAAACTTTTGCACTCTACATTAGAAGTAAGGGTCCTGTCTGCTTGTTCACAGAAATCAAAGGTGCTGGATATGGCAGAAAACAGAACACACAATAGGTTGGTGTAAACAGCCTTTGTGGACATAGTCTCGATACAGTGAGGAGCACTAACTACCAATAAGCATTCAAATGACAGAAACCACTGTTAAGACAGCCCTGCAAAGGAAGCCCTTCCAACGTCTGAACTACACACAGAATCCATAAAGGAAAATAAACTTATGGAAGTATTCTGAGGTAAGATTTTTTTAGGAGAAAAAACCCCACAACAAATGAAACCTCTGAAACATTGCACACAATTATTTTTATGAGATTTACATTACTCTTGGAATTTGCTGTGATGCAGATATCTGGAACTAACCGGTTAGAATGAAGGTGATTCTGCGCTGTTTAACTTTATGGAATTGACCATTTAGAGACAAAGGATTCACAACATGAGTCCACTGAGAAATTAGCCAAAATGAAACATAAGAGGGCCTTCAGCAGCACTTCAACAACGCAAACAATTTAATAATTAATCAAAACAACAGGATTTCTCCTTTCCACTCAAAGAGTTTTCAAGGGAAACTCAAATATTCTGAAGTTTTTGTGACTTACACTTTAGAGCCCAGAGTCGTCTTTGCTGTCTGGATCAGAGGCTCAATGTTCTGTGGATCAACTGGAAAGCTGTCACTGATTTTGTCTAGATGCTCAATAGCAATGCGGGCTGCCTGCTCATAACCATCTGCTATTCTGATGGGGTGAATACCTCGATCTAGTAATTGCTCAGCCTGTTCCAATAATGCTCCAGCCAGAACTACAAAAAAAAAATTAAAATAAGTTTCACTCTTGATTGGACCGTCATTTTTAATACATTATCAACACATTAAAAAGCATGGTTTCTCATTTTTTCCGTTATATTATAGGAGTTCAAGGTTTCCTAAATAACAAAGTAACTCTAAACAACCTCCTACTTGCTATGCTTAGAAAGAAAACACCGTTAATGTTAAGACCAAAATGAAGCACAGGTACCAAGGCAGGACAGGTAGAAGATTATGGAAGAAAACTATGCAGAAAAATGTTTAAAGTACAAAGAGGGCTCTCAGCATTACCTTAAAATACTTAGAAAAGACACAAAAGTGTCTTTCTGATTAAAGCATTTCTAAGACAAGAACCTAAAAGGACACTGCAGCAATACTCTAAAGAAGTGCTACAGAAAAGCTACTGTTACTTCACATAAAATTTCTCAAAATAGCTGAAGAAACTTGATTTTAAAGCTGAAAAATCTTAATTAAGTTTAAAATACTTTCTTACCAACAACTCCAGTAGTTCCATCCCCAATTTCATCATCTTGAGATTTAGCCAGCTCCACCATAAGTTTGGCTATCTGGTGATCCACATCCATCATATTCAGGATGGTAGCACCATCATTTGTCACAGTCACCTCACCATCCTTGTCCACCATCATTTTATCCAAACCTAAAAAAAAATGTTCAAAGCATGAAGGAAAACCTAGAAAATCCTTCAAAACAATTACTAAGAGAGAACCAGTAGAAGTGTTTCATTATTACCATTGGGCCCCAGGGATGTTCTTAGAGTACTTGCTACAGCCTTTGCTGCCATTATGTGAGACTAAAAAAACAAAGGAAAAAGAAGATAAATCATTACCATGCATTCTGAAATCACAACAATAAGCTAAGAAAGGTACAGTAACGCAAATACTGTAATTCAACTGAGAACAACCAATTATGACTGAAAAAAAGACATCAATATATGTGTATTATCTTTATGCCAGAAACATTTCCTGTGGCTTTTCTTGCATTGCTTGTGCTGGCTCTGCTAAAGCACGCAAAGGCAGAGCAGCCAAAGCGACAGCATCCATGTTTAAAGCCGGGCAGCAACAGGAGCAGGCAACTCTACAAGGAGAAGTCAGTGCAATTTTACTCATCATAGAATCACCATATTATGGTTTGGGTTGGAAAGGACCTTGAAGATCAACCAGTTCCAACCCCCTGCCAGGGGCAGGGACACCTTCCACTCAGGTGGATACTCAGAGCCCCATCCAACCTGGCCTTGGACGCTGCCAGGGATGTGGTACCCACAACCTCCCTGGGCAACCTGTGCCAATGCTTACTCCGCTTTTCCCTCGCTATTTGTATCACCCGCACTCTCACACGGTGCCGACTCTCTCAGCCCCGGCCTTCCCGCAGCGGCCGTGCCGGGCGGGGGGCGGCGGTCCCAGGGAGGGGCTGCGGGAGCCACGGGGAGGGGCGCGCTGCACCACCTGCGGGGTTACGGCCCCAAAAGCCCGCAACTCCGGGGCGGATTCGCGGCACGGTGACCGCACGGACGCTGTGCCGCGGATTCCCGGCCCCGAGGGCGATGTCTTTCCTCTCCCTCCATCCCTTCCACGCTTGCGGGCCTACACTGGGCTCCATCCGGCCTGCGCCATCCCCGGGGCTGCCGGAGAGCACGGCACCGCCTTATCACCAGGGGCTCCGTCCTCCTGCACCTCTCAGCAGCACATCACGGCACGGCATAGCATAGCATGGCATGGCATGGCATGGCGCGGCCCACCCAGCGCGGGCCCACGGGCGAACCAGCGGCCCTGGCGGCCGCCCCGCCTCGCTCACCTTGAGCGCCTCGAGCCCCATCAGGCGCGTCTTGCGCTCCTGGTCCTTGAGGATGAGGAAGGGGCGCCCATACTCGTCAAACGCCAGAGTCCCCATGGCCGACATGGCTCCCGCTCGTGCCACTGCCGCCGCCGCTCGCGCGCTCCTCCCGGAAGCCGCCGCGCCCGCCGTGACGCCGCGCCCGGCCCTGCGCCTGCGTAGCCGGCGCCAGCGGGACATATTTCGCGGGCGGAACCTTTGTGGCGCCCCCAGCGGACCCTTCTGGAAGCGTCCGGCGCGGGGGGAGGTGGCATCCCCCAGTTCGCGGGGGCGGGGAGGGAGGATCTCCTCCATGGGGGTGCAATATGGGCGCTGAGCGCGGCAGCAGCGGGCCGCAGTGGGTGAATGCGGCGGAGTGAAGATAGACACACGACGGAAGAAGTGTGTGCGGCAGAGTGAAGACAGATACACGACGAAAAAAGTGTGCGCGGCGCTCCTCTCCGGAGCACCTTCACAAAGGTTTCTGCCCCCCACCCCGTATAGCGAAGTGGTACTGCCCTTCCCTATAAATCCCGTGGGACAAGGGTGACTGTGGGTTTATTTGTGTGTGGTTGTTCGTGTTTGCGGTGTCCAGGCGGGCATTGGTGAATGTCGCCGTCCCCTGGAAAAAAGTTTCTCCTGGGAGGAAGAACAAGAGCTCCTCCGGGACGTTTCCCTGGGCGCAGGCTCCCGGGCGGTCCCTGGCAGGGACGTCCCTGCCTGCGCCGCCCTTGAGCTGTTCCGAGATGCTCCCGGGTGGGCGGGGGCTGTGGGCTTACATGGAAACTGCGCTCCTGCCCTGAAACAGTGTAACCTCGTGCCTCGGCTTCTCAGCAACTGTAGCATGTCCCTGGGGTCTGGGAATCGGCTAAAGGAATGTAAGGGAGGGGGATGGGGTTGTTTGGTTGGGGTTTTTTGGTTTTGTTTTGCTTTGTTTCGAATGTCCTCTCTATTTGATATAACACACTGCTTTATCTCAAGTAAGCGTTTAATAAAGCTCTTAGTGAAAATACTCTTTGTCATCCCCCAGGTGCGATGTCCGAGGCGGTAGCGAAGAAGAGCCTGGAGCAGGATGGTGAGGGCGGCTCCAGGAGGAGCAGCTGGGGGCTGCTGGTCACGGCTGGGGTCGGTGGGACTCTGGTGGCCCTCTATGCTGTGGTCACCCCCTTTGTGACCCCAGCCCTGAGGAAGGTGTGCCTGCCCTTTGTTCCTGCAACTGCCACTCAGGTCCAGAATGTGCTGAAAATGTTGGAAAATAGAAGTGGCCCCCTAGTTGACATTGGTAGCGGGGATGGCCGCATTGTAAGTTATGGACATTGCCTTCCTTTCATACCGTGTCTCAAAAAAGTACCAAATTCTGTAGCTATGGCTGCCGTTTTCTCACACTTACGAATGTTTTGTCTTTGGCATCCAGTGGCTTTGTTTGAGTCTTATGCAAAGGATCAAAGTTGAGAAAGTTTAGGTGAGTAATAAATACTTTTTGCTCCAGTCTTGCAGCTTGACCAAGGCAGCATACAAAATGATAGCCTGGTCGTGGTGACTGGAGGGAATTGCACTGCATTCACATGAACAGATGCCATCAAAATATTGGTGCTGTGATTCCACATAGGTGTATAGCTATAGCAAGTGATGCTGTGAGATTAAATAGCACTGTGCTTTTGGAGCTGCAGTTCAAGCTTAATGTATAAACGTGACAAGAGAAAAGGAGAATGAGAAATGACTGATAGATTACAAGAATAAAAATTCATAGTTCATCAGAAGTTTCCGGATTAAAACTTGTCAGTAACCTTTTAAATTATGTCTTAAACCTTTATTCTAGAAACGGGTGTCTTTTTGTATTTTTTTTTAAAATATAGATCAAGAGATTACTTTCAGACTCTTGCTGTTAGTATGTCATTTTGGCTTTGATTCAGAGGTTGCTCAAGTGCCTACCCCTCACTGCTTTTCAAATAAGTGGCCTAATTTTGAACATTTTTCCTTGTGTGTTTCACTGTTCTCTCCATGGTCAATTTTGGTACTGTTTAATTCCAAGATAGTGTTGTGAATGTGTTTAATTAAACTTTTATGTAAGTCATACGTGTACTACAAGGTCACAGTTTTGTCCTATGAATGTTTACGAATTCATTTTGTTTGTCTGAATATACTAATTTCAATTGGATTAGTCATAATAGTACAATGCAGTTTTGAGTTTCTGCTCACTATACTACACTATACTCTTGGGCATCTAAACCTGAGTGACTTATACAAGTGCTTTCTTTTGATTTATATTTTAAATAAAACTCTGTGCTACTGTTTAGATGATAGACTTTTATGTTTCTAAGTGAAAATTTGTTTTCTTTCTTGCAGGTGATAGCAGCTGCAAAAAAGGGATTCAAAGCTGTTGGTTATGAATTAAATCCCTGGCTAGTTTGGTACTCCAGATACAGAGCCTGGAGAGATGGAGTACATCAGAATACCAGATTTTATATTTCAGACTTATGGAAGGTAGGTAGTGAAGTATGTAAGAAGGAATCTGGTATGACTGATTTTCATATTTTGGAAATATTTTTCTGAAGGAACTGGAATGCTGACTGGCAACAAGGTGCTATATTGGGCTTTGAGCAAAGTACTTGTGCTGGGAGTCAAGTTTGTATGAGCTTACTGTGCTGCTCTGCTGGTTCTGTGCTTTGTTAATGTGCTGCCCTTTATCCATAAAGGCTCCTGGAGCAGGCCTGGGGCTGATGAATTACGTGGGGCTTTTTTTGTGGGTTTGGGATTTTTTTTATATTTTTTTTTCAGAGAGGAACATAGGAAAACTCCATGGCACTGACTGGAAGAACCCAGGCACTAGAATGCCTGGTATGTTTTTATAACTAGCTAACATTTAACAAAAACTTTAAACTATACATGACTTTAACATTTACAGAAGCTATGAAAAATCTCCAAACTTAGATATAAATAAAATCATGTAGGTATTTTCTAAATTAATTCTTCCTGTGCTACTAGGATTGGTGCCATATTCTTGGCCAGACAGTAGAATTTTTTGCTGTTCAGCAACATAAAGTTTTCTTTATGTGGAAATTTATGTGATGAAAAGTTGACATGGGATCTCCTTTCATATTTTTGGTCTAAATACCTGCTGGAAGAAGTGCAGCTAGAGGGATGGGGAGAAAAGAATGGTAAGAACGTCTCCAAATATAAATGCCATTTTCATTAAGGCTTGTTCTCAATTTTTATTTTAGGTTTCTTTTTCCCATTATACAAATATTGTTGTTTTTGGCGTACCTCAGATGGTAAGTTTACTATTTTTACACTGTTTAATTATTTTAATACCAAGGCATTCAGTGATAGTACATTTATCTGCAAAATGAACCAACCTGTAGCAGGTCACAGGTAGTCGGTAACAATCACAGAATGATAGAATGTTAAGGAGTTGGAAGAGACCTTAAAGATCATCTAGTCCCATCCTCCCTGCCATGGGCAGGGGCACCTCCCACTAGGTTGCTCAACGCTTCATCCAACCTGGCCTTGAACAGGGCACCCCCAGCCTCCCTGGGCAACCTGTTCCAGGGTCTCACCACTCTCACAGGAAAGAATTTCTTTCTACTATTTAACCTAAATGTCCCCTCTTTCAATTTGCACTCATTTCTCCTTGTCCTATCACTTCAGTTCCTGCCTAAGAGTCCCTCTCCAGCTTCCCTATAGGCCCCCTTCAGACACTGGAAGGTTGCTATGATGTCTCCACACAACCGTCTCTTCTCCAAGCTGAACAGCCATAACTTTCTCAGCCTGTCTTTGTAGGGGAGATGCTCCAGTCCTTTTATCAATTTCATGGCCTTCCTTCGGACTTGCTCCAACAGTTCCACATCCTTATGTTGGGAGCACCAGAACTGTACACAGTACTCCAGATGGGGTCTCACCACAGCAGAGAGGCAGAATCATATCCTTCAGCCTGCTGGCCATGCTGCTTTTGTTGCAGCCCAGGATTCTGTTTGGCTTTCTGGGCTGGGAGTGCCAGCTCATGTTGAGTTTTTTGTCAACCATCACCCCCAAGTCTTTCTCTGCTGGGCTGTTCCCAGTCACTTCTCTGCCCAACATGTAGGTGTGTCTGGGTTTTCTGTGACCTTTGTGTAGGGCCTTGCACTTTGGTTTGTTGAATTTCACGAGGTTTGCATCAGCCCACCTCTCAAGTCTGTCAAGGTCCCTCTGGGTGGCATCCCTTCCCTCCAGCAACTATGTCAACTGCAGCATACAGCTTGGTGTTGTCACTGAACTTGCTGAGGTTTGATCCCAAATAATAATATTTTGCTATTTCATTGTTGCTTCTTAATGTCCATGATAAAGCCTGGTAAAACTTGTGACAGTATGCAGACTGGAGCTCTGAAAATACACCTGTTTTTGAGAAGAATTTTCTGTCCATTCGTTTGGAATCAAATGAAAACTGCTGTGCCAAAATTGCTTGGAGGAAAGCCAATACATTGGTTCTTGGAAATTTCAGTTTTTCATTCTGAAAAAAGGAGTTTGCAGGGAGAAGATGAAGTAGGAAATTCACTACAACTGATTTTTGGGAGCCTTGTTAGAGGAGAGTATTGAACTTTGCTTATGTTCTCCAAAAACCAGATCACCTCAAGTAGGCCAGCAGCTGATATATTGAAATGACCCCTTGTCCACGTGTGGATTGTGAGGGTTTGGGAAGGTACACAAATACTTCAAGTAGCTCTCTAGCCTATGTTCAGTGTGTCCCTGGGGAAAATGCATTCTTTAAAACTGGTGTAGAAATTGAGTTGCATAGGCTGCTTTAGTGCTCTCCTACTTGAGTTCCAGCAGGGAGCAGTACAAACGTTTGGATTTGCAGTCAGGAATTCTGCCGTGGCACCAAGGGGGAAAAGTGTGGGTGAAGAAAGCAGCTTTGGTGAATTAGAAATTAACAAATGCCCTGGGAAAACGTGGGTAATCCCGGCAGAAATACTGACTTAACTTTAAATGTAATAAAGTGGGATAAATTAGTAACAGCTGTGATAGAAAGAGTAACTATAGGGCTCAGAAAAACCTGTAAATCCTAGGCTAAATTCTTTCAGTAGAAATACTGTCATAAATGCAACAGATGCAAGCATACAAACCTGTGTTTCCTGAGCATTCATTTGTTTATGATCCCCTTTAAATTTACTTCAGTCACAGCCCTCTGGAGTGACTGAATTAAGTTTTTTAGAAGCCTTAATACATTTTTTCTTTTTTTACTGAGGACAATAGATTTCTTTAGCTTTTTTAATAATGCTAGTCTGATTTGATGCTGCCACACGGTGCTTTTATTTTATATGCAAGATTAGCTTACAAAACTTGGATTTATTGATCTTCAGGGAAGACTAAGACCTCTCTTGTTCTTGCAAGCATCTGGGGGAAGGTGCATTTGCTTCTGAGTCATTGTAGAGAGAGAGAGACTTTTACTGGTTCAGATTGGATGATGGAATTCTTACCAGGTGTTCATGTTCACAGCTTTTGTGTATTTAACTGATTATATACTTTGTACAGATAGTTTACTGAACTATCTGTCCCAGCCTTTGCCTGACATAATATACATAAAATACAGTATAATTTAACACCTAGAGTAGCTGATTTAGCTTAAAAACTATTTTGAGTGGTTCAAGAATGCAATTCTTCCTGTTTGAACCATTAATGATGTTTTCTAATTTAAGGGAACGTAGATATGCAGTTTCACTAATTTTCATAATAACTCATTAAAAATTAGGCCATGTCTCTATTTGTAATTTCTGTAACAAATTAGACCTTCTTCTACTGCTGTCTCCCCTTAGTTTTAGGTACCACAGTGGGCTTATTTTTCTAGTTTGTTCAAGGTGCGGTAGCAAAAATGTTTAAAAGCATTTACAGTATGGATAAAATCAGAGCATAGAATGCTTAAAAATATTTGGAGGCAACTCTTTGATTGGGTCTATGACTATAATAATGTTCCTAAAATATTCTCTTGTAAGCTTAAATGCAACTATAACAGGATATTACATCAAAGGCACACCCCGCATGTATGTGACAGCATAAGTTACCTGCACCCTTTGGAAACACATTTTCTTCAGTCAGTCTTGTTTTCTAATAATGTTCTGGTGTTTTTTTTTTTTTTTTTTTTTTTTTTTTTTTGTTGTTGTTTTTGTTTTGTTTAGTTTTTGTTTTGTTTGTTTGTTTTTGGGTTTGTTTGGGTTTTTTTCATTTTTGTGAAATTTTTATATATTTTGTGTCTTAAGGTGAGCTACATTTGTAAATAATTACTATCCTTTTAACCTTTTAGTATCTAAATGTTGCATCATTATATCAAAGTAAATAGAGTTTTACACATAATAGAAGTAGCCTGTGGAGTTTGCTGTTGTAATTACTCATTCAGATACATACAGTATGTAAGAATAAAAGAAACTCCAAATGGATGTGTACTGCTGATCTGCTTAAGCATGCCAACGCCATCAAAATTTCCAAAGGACAAAAATGGCTAAATCTGTTAAATTTCTCTTTTTTTTTCTTTTTTTTTTCATCCAGAACCTAATCACTATCTGAGATGAGAAAGAAATATCTTTGTACTCTAGGTGCGTTAATTCATTTCTCACTTAATTCATAGCAAAATTTACGACGAGACCATCTGACTGGGAAGGGTGTTGCTCTGTTCTAGAAAAGTAGTGGTATTTCCCTTGACTTTCGTATCCTCTCAGTTTTTGGGAATGGAGGAAAGCTAGACCATAGGTGTTCAACCAAGGAGAGTTACATAGTGGTATGTAACAACATCCTGTTCTCTAGATTGGAGAGAGATCGGTTTGGTGGATGGACTATTCAATGGATAAGGAATTGACTGGATGGCTCTGTCCAGTGGATAATGGTCAGTGGCTCAATGTCCAGATGGAGATCGATCACAAGTGCTATTCCTCAGGGGTCTGCCAGTCCTGCTTAATAACTTCATTAATGACACAAATGGTGGGATTGAGTGCACCCTCAGAAAAATTTGCAGATGACACCAAGCTGAGTTGTGCAGTTAACATGCCTGAAGAATGGGAGGCCATCCAGAAGGACCTGGACAAGAGGTGGGCCCATGGGAACATCATGCAGTTCAACAAGACCAAGTGCAAGGGGCTGCATCTGGGCCGGGGCAACACTGCTATCAATACATGCTGGGGGATGAACAGACTGAGAGCAGCCCTGCTGAGAAGGACTTGGGGGTGCTGGTGGATAAAAAATATGAACGTGAGCCAGCAATGTGCACTTGAAGCCCAGAAAGCCAATTGTATCCTGGGCTGCATCCAAAGCAGTGTGGGCATCAGGTCAAGGGAGGGGATTCTGCCCCTCTGCTCTGCTCTGGTGAGACCCCACCTGGTGTACTGCATCTTGCTCTGGGGTCCTCAGTACAAGACAGATATGGATCTGTTGGAGCAGGTTCAGAGGAAGGCTACAAGCATGATCAGAGGGTGTAGCATCGAGGGCTGGAGCTCCTCTCCTATAAAGACAAGTTGAGAGAGTTGAGGTTGTTCAACTTGGAGAAGACTTGACTCTGGGGAGACCTTGTTGTGGCCTTTCAGTACTTAAAGTAGTTAGAAGAGATGGGGACAGACTTTTTAGTAGGACCTGTAGTGGCAAAAAAAAGGATAATGGTTTTAAACTAAAAGAGGGTGGATTCAGACTAGATGTAAGAAAATTTTTATGATGGTGGAACACTGGCACAGGTTGCCTAGAGAGGTGGTAGATGCCCCATCACTGTAAATATGCAGTCATGCTGGATGGGGCTCTGAGCAACCTGATCTAATTGAAGATGTCCCAGCCGGCGGCAGGGGGGTTGAACTAGATGACCTTTAAAGGTCCCTTCCAATCCAAACTATTCTATGATTCTATATTCTGTTTCATGCAGTGCTGCTGCAGGGACTTGCCTGTGTTAACAGGCTGTGGATTCATCAAAGCTCAATTTCAATAGCATTTCACATACCAGCACTTTTCCATACAGTGACAGCAGAATGTTTGCTTTCAGTTGTTGTCTGTGTGATGTTTTGGGTGTCCTAGTATCTGTCTTGGGGTTAGACTGTAGATTATGAGCACTGGTGACGTTTGAGTTCCACACAATAGCTCATGAACCTAGAGGTGTCAGAAATAGCATAAATTCAGAGGGCTGAGCTTTCATTCTCTACAGAGGAGAATCCCACTGAAGGGAATCGTGAACTGGAACATGCAAAGTCTTTTCTTTGTCTTTTTTTTTAATCTAAGGGATAAGTTTTTGATTTAATTTTTAGAACTTAGATGTCACCAACTGGGCACAATAGCCATTTTCTAGTTTTAGATATTCTTTGTCAAGGCATCAAAGCTAAAATATATGTCATACTTTTGTAAGAGTTTAAAAAAAATCCTCAAACCTCGGACTTCTCTTGAACACTTGAATTAGATTCTAAAGAGAATGCTTCTGTGTTTTTACTGCTTCTGAAAGCTTTTTATTATTACTCAACAGATGCCACAGTTGGAGAAGAAGCTGGAAGAAGAACTTGAATGTAATGCCAGAATCATTGCCTGTCGCTTTCCTTTCCCCTGCTGGATTCCAGATCATACTACTGGAGAGGGAATAGACACTGTGTGGGCCTATGATTTGAAACATTATAGAAGATGTGAAACAAAAAACTTGGAAATTACACCAGAGAGAGGATCCTAAACAACTAATTTGTTTTTTATATTGAAATTTTTAACTTTGACTTTACCTGTTGAAGATAAGATAGAGCCCCAGCATATGGAGATATATATATTCACTTAAAGAACTGAAGTGCACTGATTATCTGAAAGCAAACAAAGGTTACTGAAAGATGTAGTTAAATGGCTTAATGTAGTGTCCTGATTTAACTCCATCTGGCAATGAAGTACCACACAGGTGTTTGCCCCAGTTCTCACACTCCCCCCATGTCATGGGAAGGAAAATTGGGGAAAAGATTATACCCATGGGTTGAGATAACAATAGTTTAATAATTGAAGTAAATTTAATAATATTAAAAATTGCAATGAAAAGAGAGACAGAAAAAGACAGGAGTAAAACCCAAGAAAGATGAGTGATCCACAATACCATTACTCACCCCTCATTGACTGATGCCCAGCCCATCCCAGAGCAGTAATTGGCCCTTCTGTGCCAACTCCCCCCAGTTTATATACCGGGCACAATGGCATGGAATATCCCTTTGGCTAGTTTGGATCGGCTATTCTGGCCATGCACCCTCCCAGCTTCTTGAACGCCTTCTTGTTGTCAGGGCATGGGAAACTGAAAAGTCCTTGGCTTGGGGCAGATGCTGCTCATCATCAGCTAAAACACCAATGTTACCAGCGTTATTTTCATCCTAAATTCTAAACACAGCATTCTACCAGCTACTAGGAAGAAAATTAACTCTATCCTAGCTGAAACATGACATGTAGCTAGTAAAAATTATGAGAAAGTTTTATAGAAGCGGAAAGCTTTAATATGGAAAATGGGATAAAAACCACAGACCACTACTGTTAGGGGGAATCTCTGTGTGAATAAAATGCTCAAATTGGTGAACTTAATATATTTGTTCTTTCTGATCCTACGTAGCATTTGGTGTTGGTGTTGGAAGCAGTGTGCAAGTGGCTTCTCAAATGAGCTGTAGTTCCCAAATGTCTTCATTATGTGGCAAGTAGGCATAATACTGCATACACAAAACTGATCCAAATAGACTATGATGGTGATACCAATTGTTCACACCTGAGCCTTGAATGTGTACCTTTAATAGTTGAGTATGATAAAAGAAGCAAATATAATAAGTTGTTTATTCATTAACGTAAGTACAGCCTCTCATTATATTACTGAATTTTAATTTCACTTGTTATGTGAAAACAAACTGCAGAAGTATGCTCTTACTGAACTCTTATTGGTATAAGCCTTTGCAGATGGCCATAATTTTTCCTAACCCCTCTGCTTCAGGAAGGGGTTTCAGAAGTCATTTACTTGTCAGCGAAGTGTCAACATTTCTGTGTGCTCAAACTTTGGATAAAGGTATGGATGAGAGTTGCTTACTTGAATGTTTGAAGGCTGTCTATGATTCCAGAGCTAGTTGTTCTGACTAGCTTGGCTAAATCTGATTGAACATCATTTAATTTATGATGGGAGATGAGACGGAAGGTTTTCAATCAGACTTCTTTTTCCTTCTACTTTTCTATACCATCTGATGAGATCTCAGAAACCCATGGTATCTCTGCATGGCTTTTCCTTCTAAGTGAAGCAAGTTCTCCGTGTCCTTTTGCCGATGCTGGTTTGCAGTGGGGCACTGTCACTGCACTGGCATTTTCCTTTTCTACCATGGTTACAGCACTTTTCTGTTTTATGAAACAGAAATGTTTTATAAAACATTATCTGCTTACTTGTTCTTTTTTCTGGTTCCCAAGTAAAGTTTTACTGTTTTCACCCAGTAACAATTGGTCAAAGCCTCTCTTGGCCCCAGTTAACATATAGCCTGTTCGTTAAGCAGTGACTATGTAAGTTTGTCAGACCTTTGCATATATGATACCCATAGAATGAAGTTAAACAAGCTAGGCAATTGTCACCTGACTTCAAGGCAGTCGTTATCACAACTAAAGTTATCTCAGGCCAAGAGAAGTGCTGAGACTATAATTTCAGGTAAATACAAAGTCTGTGACATTTTGTTATGTGTCAGGAGAGCAAATTTGCTGGACAATAGTATCTGGCTTGAAGAGAAGTTGTGTGCTATTTGAGATGCATAGCCTACAATGATACCAATACTCAGGCTTTTTGGTTTTGGTTGAGGGGAGAGGAAGGAGAATTTAAAATTCAAATCTACATTGAGGATTTGAAATGGAGCAGTGGCATGGTTTTGTCCTGATAAGGTATACAAAACAAGGAAAAAAAGGGGCAACTGTATCTGGAGTCTGCAAAGGAGAGGTAATTTCAGCCTCGCATGGAAAGGCACAACTGTAAATGTGGGGACTGTGTACTGAAGTACGTTGGTTCCTGGTAAGCAGGCTTCTACAGCCTTTCACTGCAATGTTACATAAAGCATCTTGTAAAACTACACTATATTCTTTCTGTCATGATCTAAATGTTATGATTATTACACAGTGACAGCACAGTGGCTTATCTAAAATGGATGAATTTAATATCCCAAGGCTATAAAACTGGAACCTTAGACAAAGGAAATCTGAAATTATTTCTATTGGAAAAAGACCACACAAAGTGTAAATTAGCTAATTAAGCAGGGTCCTTCCTCAAATGATTATAAAGGAGAAGAGGACGAAAAAGATTTTGATCAGTTGAGTTGTGACCCATCTGCAGTGCAGTGCTTTGACCCAAGTTTCTGCAGCACTGTTCACTACAGTTATTTTGTAGGAAATGAAGCAGCTGTTTGCTTTTTCTTCTGTGTCTGACTATATATTTTTCTATTGCATTAATGTTTGCCTGTTAACAGGTAAAACTGAATTTCTCATTTCTACCTGTGGTAATGGTTTTGGGATGTGCACTTCTTAATTACCACCTACTGCTCCAGAAATACTTGTTAAGAGGGCAAAATAGAATTAATGATGTGATGGTCTGAGCTTTAGGAGAACTAAGTGCTGCCATCAAGGCAAGGAGAAATTTTTAAATGTTTTAATGTAAAGCAGAGGGCTGTTTCTTCCTCTGGCCACTTACATTTGGGGGCCTACATTGAAATAGCAGTGGTCTGAAAGTTTGGAATTCCTTACAACGTAAGGAAATGTGCTGTGTTTCCTGTTTCCATGGCTTAGATGTGAAATGGAAAGCAAATTGCTCTAATTTACACAGGAGAACTGGGAAATCATTTTCTCATCATTTTGGCCTCAATTTTTCTATCACTTGCTATGTTCTCCATTTGGTTTGCAAGATTAAATACTTAACTGTGACTTCAGCTATCACTGTATGGATTCTTATGTTGATACATTTCCAATTGCTAAGGTAATGTATTATGATTTTGTTGATATGCTACTTCACAGTACAAATTTGTTTCTTCTGAAAACCAGGAAAGAGAACAGCCCTTATCGAATTACAATGTAGGTCTGAAGCCAAAAAGAGGAAATCTTCAAGGTACACATGCTGTTCAATACCAAAGTAATTCAGATACACAGAAAAAACCATAGTTTATTTTTATTTGTATCTTCTAGTAGAATCACTTGCCTTTCGGGAGTTACATGTTTTATTCTCTCCTTGCCCTGCCAGATCTTAGCAAAAAAAGTTGTTACATTATTGAACGAGTAATTCTTTCCTGAAATACTGTAGAATTTGATTTTTTTGCAAATAATACAGGTCAGAGTCAGACTTTCATTTTTGGTTTTTTTTTGGTTCTTCCCTCTCCTCTCCCCTCTTTTTCTTTTCTTCTTATATTGCGACACATTATGTCCCCACAAGTTTTGTGATGCAAGATAAGTTGTACCAATGCATCATCTGAGTGCTGCAATTCTAACTTTTTAGTTTCCCGTTTCCATTTTGCATAAATTGGCTTTCTAGGAAAAAAAGAGAGGGTTATGGCTACAAGAGAGCCATCTGTTAGGCAGCTTGCTCGTTATACTGCACGGTCACTACAGCCACACAGCAGTGTCAACAAAGCCTGCCTGGTTTTGTTTGGGAAATATACGCATATAATGTGACTTTTAGGCATTTCTGTATCACTGGGTATATAGAAGTTCTTGGCTTATCCTCTAGTCTGAGTATATTCTGTCAGTTAATCTAATGCTGCTCCAATCCTCTGAGCTGCTGTTTATTTCTGTCATGAGTTGTAACCAGGTAAGAAGATACAGAATCCACTTTCAAATAAAGCACCACATTTCACAAATCAGTTGAATGAGTATGATCTGTGGAAAAAAGTTTCAAAGCTCAGGCTTTGGGGAAGTCTTTTACCTTCCATGAAGGACAGACACCTTTCAGAAGGCAATAGAGATCTGAATTCTGGATATTTTTTTAAAAAACTACTTGAGCTTTGCTTTTCTCAAGTGTGTGTTCTTCAAAATTTTTAGCACCATAATACCATTCTAAGATCTGTAGGGGAAGTGAGCAGGGGCAACATTTTGGTTATCTTTCATATTTTGAGCTGTAGGAGGAAAGGAGGAAAGGGATCTTATGGACCAAGTATGGCAGTTTTGTCTGTTTCAAGGGCAGTTTGACAGACTTGCCCATCATCTGTGCATACTTCTCATTGAACAGGAAAATCCATACTAAGAATAGGCTGTGATGAGAATGCACTTAGACGTGGATTCATGTCTGATACCATTACACTTGGACAAACTATGGATAGATTTCTTCATACTTCTATAGTTTTGCTTTCCATGGTTTACAAATACTGAAGCATTTTTTCAAAAAAGGACATGAATCCTTCCAAGTAATGGTTCAGTTTTAGGTTGTCCTGTGCAGGGCTAGGAGTTGGACTTCGATGACCCTTATTGGTTGCTTCCAACTCAGGATATTCTATGATTCTACGGTTGAAGAGGGCAGCCTAATATCAGATTTAATGCCAGAAATTCTGCTTTGACTGATTTATTTTTCTTTTACATTTGACAAGATTGCAGTTCTCTAGGTTTAAAATGTAGACCCAACTTGTGTTCCAGAAGTAATATATGTCTCTTCTAGAAGATTTCTTGAATTCTTGGTAAAACAGTGTGGCAGCTATGTCTAACTTAAAAATTACCTTTGAGTGAGATTACTGAATATATTAATTCTGCAGCTTTTTGCTTTGCATGATAATCTTTCTTTTCACCCTTGTATGTTTTACTGAGGGAGACTTATACAAGGATAACTACAATTTTTTCCCATTTTGTTTCTGAATTCTGCCTCTTTATTTGTTTGCTTTTATTTTTTCATATTGTCTTTTTACAATTTGACTGTTTGACTTTCAGATCTTCTAATTTCCTTTTATTTTTTCCTGTAAATTAGGGGTTTTTTGGGGGTGACTGGTTTTTTTTTGGTGTTGTTTTTTTCCCCAGCAACTTTCAGGAAGACTAAATATGTTATGGAATGTTCTTTTTCTCTCTAATGTTTTAACATGCATTTGACTAACCTTCTTGATTTATTTAGCAGTCTGTATGCTGACATAGCATGACTTTTGTTTCCAGTGGATGAAAGAAAAACACATCCACCCCAATGGTATTTAGATTGAAAAATAGCTTTGGTCTACAACAATTCTGGTTATTTAGGAGTTTTAAGTACCTAATTTCACTTTTTTATTATATTTCACCACTTGGCAAATGAATACAGGCTTTTTATCCCTTCAGTAGTTCTTTGGATTTGTGTTATTTGTTCAGGTGGGACTTTTGCTGACTTCTTTTTCTTAGTATAATATTGGGGTTTCTATTAGGGGCTTTGGTTGAAATGTCAGATGAATGTTTTTTCTGCAAGTTGCTGTATAGACTGTATAATCACTGTGATGCAAACCAGTGAACTGCTAACATTGGTAAAAATGAAATAAAACCTGCTTACCAGTAAATGCACAGGGATATTTTTCAGCTTACTGTATATGTTGTGGTTTTTAAAAGTAAATTAGGTTTTTGAAGGCCATATAAAACTTGTGGCACAAAGAGGTCTTTGCAAGGTCAGAAGAAGTAAATTACTGGCTTTCAACCTGAGGTTTGTGGCTACCTTCTGAGGAATCCACAAAAAGTAATTTAAAAAGCACATCTACTATCAGTAGGTTTATATTTGCTGCCCATGGTTGTATTCTTCCACTGGAAAATTTTAATGTGTCAGAAAGGGTCATTTGAGAATCTCTGAACGAAAAATATGGGTTTATGCAAGATATTAACTAAATGAAAATGAGTTTATCAAAGTGAGGACTTTTTTATTTTTTTTCCTTTTCTGTTGTTCCTTGCTTGGATTGTTGATCTTTGAACCTCTGCAATGTACAAATGCATGAGCCTCTGTGTCTTTTCTGGTAAGCATGTAACTTCCTATTTTACTGTGTGAGAGCAGTTGCATGGTTTTGCACATTCCCATTGCATTCTAATAATTCTATCTTTTTAGGTACTCTATGATATATATCATAGGTAATTTATGATATATACCCTGGTATAATGGTCTAATTAATTTTTTTATTAGGAGCTGCTTAAACATTAAATTTACATCTTCAAAACACCTGATGAACTGCTATCTGATGAAGGCTGTCTAAAAAGCCAAGAGAATTTGTGAAACTCTTTAAAGATGTGATGTCTGTAGCTGTCCATGCCAGAACTCAGGTTCAGAGAGACATAAATACCTCTCTCTTGCATATGCTTTCTTGATTCTTGATTTTTTTTTGATTGAAAATGGAAGTGTGAAGAGGAGACACGAAATAAATCATAAAATCTTGAGAAATAATGAAAGTTCTGGGAGAGAAAAATGTGAGTGGTGAGGGATATAGCCAAAATCTAAGGGGCCTACTCTGTCACTATCACTCCAGCCTATAAGGTTTGACGATCTTTTTTTTTTAATTTTAATTTCCCTAAGATTATGCAGCTCTTCTTGAGCATATACTTCTTTTTCTCTCTTTCCTATTGTTTTTTCAAGTTCATCAGAGTGTACACGAATCAAAATAATTTATATGTCCAAGTGGGCCATTCTCTAAGTTGTGTACAGGGACCTTCATCATCTGTGTTCATGTGTATTTTATTGCTGCTTCCTTCTTTTCAGTACACAGAAACCAGACTTATACTCTGAATATCTTTATGCTCAATCTATAAATCAGCTTTGTGGGTGTGATCAATACCAATTAAGTTTATTTGCAAACACAGATCTCATGCTGAAGTAATTCTAAAAAGATTTTGAGCAGGAATGAAAAAAATAATGGTCATCATGGGAAAATACAAATGTTACTTAGTGATGGTAAATCTAAATTTAAATCTAAAATACTGATGTTATTTAGTGTTATTTAGGGATGGTAGAGTCTCCTGCCATTGAGGTACTTTTAATTTTAGTGGGCAGTGTGATGTGTCAATCAAAGTCAGGGAATGGAAGACTAGTACCAAAGCAGCACTGTGCGTCGTGCTTTACAAGAAGCTAATTTTCTAACACTATCTTCAGAGGCTGCCTTCTGGTTTTATCTAAATTATTAAGTACAGTTATTTTTCTGATGAAGACTATGATGGTAGGAAAGTATTATTGGCTGAGCTTATAAAACTACTGAGCCTCTTGAAGTGTTTGTCCTATAGAGAAATAATTCACATAATTTCTTTACCCTTTCCTCCTCCATACAAAAAACTCCCCAACCCTCTGGAGTGTCAACATTACAGAATTAAAATGGAAACTACATTTATCACCTTTAGAAATTAAACATTGGGAAACAGCTTCTAATACGAAAAAGTTGCTTCAGCGACTGGGTCTTATTTACCAGAGACCATGAAGTATAATGTAGGTCAGATCCAGACTGACTTAAAAAATGGTTTAAGTTACTTAGAAGAAGTTAATGTTTCTTTTGAGTCTCCTGGACATACACTCTGAATTGTTTGATTATTCTAATAGAAACACTGATCAAATAGCGCTCTTCCCAGGATTATTTGTCTACTGCATGAAAACGAAGTAGTCTAAGTGCTTTCCATGCACAGGAAACCGGGATGCTGGATCTGTCATAAGGTTTTGTCTATAGCTGTTTTCTGTTTTCTTCATGTTTGTCTGTACTTTGGAAGACTGTGAACATCAGATGATTGGAATGGGGACATTTTTCTGCTTGGGTGATACTTGTAGGTGTAAGGGCAAAGGACAAATTAGTTGAAGCATACCTTTGATTCCTTTCAGGATATCTGATCAATAGTGATTCTTTGTATAGTATTGTTTTAGTCTGGCTCTGGTAAAATTTTCATTTCTGCAGGCATAAAACTAGATGTCGCTTGTCACTCATTTGTCTCTCCATTCTGTTGTATGCCTGAAGAATCTAAGTTGGCAATACAAGTCTCTTTCCGTTTCTATTCAAAATACACAGGAGATGTTTTATTGACCTTGAGAACTTCTATTACCCTGGTGAGACAGTGTTGCCTTCCTGGTGTTGGATATGCAGGTCATTCACTGCCTAAGCTTGTAAGTATCAGGGTTGTGAATGATGTAGCTTTCTTGTTAGGGTGTCCAAGCAGCACTGAACCCAGGATACTGGAGCTCAAGTTCTACAGCAGATAACCCAATCAAAAGTGCTGAGCTTCAGTTTCCCTTTATTGTTAGATCCTCCCTGATCACTACATGCACCCCACACCCCTACAAAATAAACAGCCCCCATCTCAACCTGATCCATCAGAATATATTCTTTGGTTTTCAGCTGCTAGTCCAAATGTCCACGTTACTTTCCAGCTTTGTCTAGGCCATAGGCCTAGTGGGGCCTGCTCACCTTGTATTTTGGTGAAAGTAGGGTCGGTTTTAGCTTCAGCTGTCTCAAAGGTCTGACTAAGAAATCTTTATAGTCTCTGAAGGCACTGAAATGAGTGGGCTCTGGGTGCTGAAGACTTCCTGAAGCTCACTGTCGTAGCACGATGGAACAAAGCATTAATGTTTTTCACAGGCTTTTATAAAGACTGCTTTAGTGCTGCTGAATTTGATCTCTCCCCTAGTTTTGGAACTCTGCAAAGCAAGGTTAAATTCACTCCAGTTTTCTCTCTGCCTAATAGTAGTAGAATATTGTTCTTTAATTTTACATTGTGGTTTGTTTCTAGTACAGCCCATTCCCTTCAGTGGAGGGAAAGACTTAACACAGAGGTTCTTCCTCTCCAGCACAAACTTAAGACCAAAGCTCTTTCACTGAGGGTCTTCCCTTCCTCTCTGGAAAGTCTCTAACAGCACAAAGATCCTGTACCAGTAGAGGTGAGAAGGCTTTCTCTGAAATTCCTGCTGCTGATACATTTGTATCAGATGCCATTTGTCAGGACCACAACTAGGACTAAGAACATCTTGATTTTCAACAAAGTCTTTGTACAATTACCTGTGGCTTAAGATCAGTTCAATGGGTTTGATGCTGGGTCTAGTATGGAGGCTTGGAGTAGCAGGACTTTCTCAGTCTGCTTGCCTTTTTGGGAAATATCAAAAACCAAATGTTGGTCCTTACAGTAGCATAATTTCTTTTATATCTCAGTAAAAAAATCACAATGTATTAATATAATGAAAATATAAGAATAATCTTCTCATAGTAGTACTCTGGCAATAGACTAAGCTGAATGTTACTGAACAGAGATTTCTAGATTGGAGAAGGAGACACAAGTCTGTTCTCCCTTCAGTAAGTATGTGTTGTGCCTATTAACTTTAGGGAATTTGTTTGCATGTATTTAAAAAGAAATAAAAGTACACATAGAAGACGGCAGTTGGAATGCTGGTTATTAGTTTGCATTCAGCCCTGCAGTAAAATGCAATGTTTATACAATAGTATTCATTTTCAAACTGCTACTGAATAGTAAATCTAGCAACACTTTTGTAGGGTTGACTGGCATTATCTTCACCCTTTACAATTGCAAAAACTAGCAAAGAGCTAATTTGTTCAGGACCACAAAGTAATCAGTGGTAATGCTGTGATTAAAATGAAGTCTGCAACTGCATGCCTGTGTCTACAGTTGGAAGAATGTGTTTTCTAAATGACTGCTCCTCAGGGTGGCAGTACCTGTGTACTTTCACAACTGATGGAGCCAAAGATAGAAAGGGCAAATGCTCACCTATGTAATGTAGTGCTTTCTTACTGCTTACAACTGTAAGACATAGCACTTGCAGTGGTTGTGCCTGTCAGATTTATTATTTTGGTTTTCTTTCTTTGGTCTTACCATTTTATTAGCTCTTAACATATTTGATGTCTCATGCTTACTGCTTTTAACTGCATGTGGATCCCTCTCATTTGGTTATACATGCTACTTAATAGTAAAACTCATTATTTCTATTGAAGTATACAACTTTACATTTTCTACTACCATCTGGGCCTATTTTTGTGGGAGGGTTCACTGTTTTCATGCTTTCCATTTTCTTGTGACAGAGAAGTTCCATCTTTGAACAACTTAAATATGTTTTTATGGGAGTATTAAATATAAATCAGCTTCAATCCAGCATAGGTATTGTGACTTCCATATCTTATTGTTTTACTTGCCTTATAATTATTTTTTTTCCTTTGTGAGTGGGCTGTGTCTTAATTCCCTGAGTACACTTCACTAAACATAAATGAAACTTAATTTTTATGAAGTCATCAGACTGATCTGTCATAGCCTATATTAGTAAGCCTACATGTTCCTATTTCTCATTTTTATTTCTATATTTGTTCATGGGTACCAATGAGATGATCTGAGAGAAGAACTATTTTCTTTAGCCTTAATAACTTTATCCTTCATCAAAATGGCATGTGGAACTGAATGAAAAAGCTCTCTGTTGGTGTGATGTGTCAACAGCTCTTGCCTTTATAACTTTCTGTCCTGACAATCTCAGACTCATTTTTCTCTGACATAAGCACTGGCTTTAAGTAAAGTTACTGTCTTGATCTTCAGAAGTGATCTGCTTAACCAG